GTTACATAGTCAATAAATGTTAAGATACATTTTGCCCAAGTCTTTCAAGTATGCTTATGAGCCAGAATAGCTCAGTCATTATAGTGACAAGCTACAGGCTGGACGACTGGGGTTCGATCCCTGACGGGGACAGAGGATTTTTCCTCTAGCCTCTGCATCCAGACCGGCTCTGGGGCCCACCCAGTCTCCTATCCAATGGGTACTGGGGTCCTTTCCTGGGGGTAAAGTATGGCTGGGGCATGATGCTGACCACTCACCCCCATCTAGTACCGAGGTTATTTTTAAAAATTTAGTGCATGGCAATATTTTTTCTCACCTGGTTCACCTGATTCTCCTTTGGGACCACTGAATGATGATTCTCCTGGGAGTCCCTCCATTCCTGGAGGACCTGGATCACCATGTGGACCCTGAAGGAATGCAATACATCTAAATCATGACACTATAAGAATATAAATCTGTTGAGTCTGTAGCACAAAGTTTTTAAATTTTGATTCATATGCATATACAGTGAAACAAGGTGAAGGAAAAAAGTAGAAGAAACAACTTAATTTGTTGTTTATGTGATATCAGAAATAGTGATTCCCTGCAATAAGTTACACAATTATCTTCAAAGTCCAGCTAGCAGCCTTATAGTATGGGGGTTTAAATCCTCATTCCTGTATGATAATGGTTAAATTATTATTTTATCTGTATGTACCTGAAGTCCAGTCTGTCCTCTGAAGCCTGGATTTCCTTGTGGTCCAAAATCACCTCTCCCACCCTTGATGCCAGGAGGTCCAGGCAATCCAGATCTTCCTGGAGGACCAAGAGGGCCTGGAACAATAATTAAAGTGTTTGTAGCAGTCTCTTGCAAACTAAATCACTCTGTGGTGCGGAGACCTTCTTGAGAAGTTAATAGATGCTCTAGTAGTCAAGAAATTCCCTCCACTTTATGGGAGCAGAAGGTTCATTAACTCTGTTGGGTCTAAAATATGGCAAGAAACCTCATAAATCAAATGGTTAATTACACAGTATGCATGAATTATATACATTTAACTTACCTGGGATACCAATTGACCCTTGATCACCAGGGAGACCAGGCAATCCAGGAATCCCCATGCGTCCACCTATTCCATCGAATCCGTGTGGTCCTTGTTCTCCATCAATTCCCCTACGGCCCAATTGTCCAATCTCTCCCTTCAAGCCCTTCAGTCCAGGTAGACCATTAGGCCCATCCTCTCCTAGAAGCAAATACATCACATCCAATTAGCAATCAATAAATCTTCACAGCAGAAAGGATATATCTTAGAAGTATGTAACATGAACAGATGTTTATTTTAAACTGTAACTAAATTACCAGCCAAACAACAGGGTTTTTGATTTATTTAGTGATTGTCATGTGATATGATTATTATGAACAATGGAGGTTATGGAGGGAAGCGGTCATAGCCTGTTTTAAGATTCTATTACATTTGCATGGAGGGGATTAAAAATGTTGTAGCCATTTCTTTTTGATAACACTTTCATTATCATATTCATGTCTGTTATTCCTAATTCTTCTCTAACATCTTCATTAGATTTGTGATCAGTCTTTCTGGTTCTTGAAGCTGCTCTGAGGAAATGCTTTTGTCTCAGTTCTTCTCATCTGTTCTTTCATTAACACGAAGCATTCAGACCTGTATAGAAGCATAGGTATGGCATAAAAATAATCCACTGAATTATGTATGTGTTATTTCTCATTCAGTGCCAAATAGGATGTCCAAGGAAAAAATTGGGGATTTTGGTTGTAAATATGTTTACTACATTAACACATAATGTTGCATACAATAAAAACTACTTGCCAACTTGCAGCAATGGATTAAAGCTTCTGTCACTGCTGTACCTCTGAATAAGCTGGCTGAGGTGAGGACTAAAGTGGAATATCATTATGACATATGCAGGGCAGTCAACAGTGCTCACTTTGGATTCCCCTGAATGACACTTAAACAAGATGAGTTTCCCAAGTAGTTTTCATCACATGCAACATTTTATATTAATGCAGTAAATAAATATTCATAATTAAAACCCTGGAGTTCTGTCATCCTACATAACTTTATAAGTTGAACAACAGTACCGTAACATTACTGAATAAATAAAGGAACATGGCCCATATTATGCTGAAGCAGTTAAGAAAATTTAACTTCATATATATGTAATAGCTGGCCGCAGTGGCCACGCGGTCTGAGGCATGGACCTCGTGTGCCTGGCCGCTGGGACCGTGGGTTCGAGTCCCACTCAAGGCATGGATGTTTGTCCACGTCTTTCAGTGTTTATATAAGTAGAGGCCTTGCGTCAGGCTGATTACTCATCCAAGGAGTCCTACCATTGTCCAAATAGATCAAGAAAATGAATAAATGAAAACCTCAACACCTACGGGTAAAAGAGGATAAAGAGAGAGAAAGAAAGATACGTAATATCAGTGGGTTTACCTCTAGGGCCTGGTCCTCCAAATACACCAATCAAACCAGGCAAGCCAGGTAGACCAGGAACACCCGGAGCTCCAGGTAAAATATCACCTGGTGGACCTTTAGGACCCTGAAACACAGTATCAAAATTGGTACTAGAAATCAGATGTATTGAATATTTATCTTCTCAGTAATCTGTATGACCTAAGAATTCATTATTTGATGCTATAACTGATAGAATTAACTGGTGTGTTTCGAGTGATTCGTGTTCACATTAAGATTTATATTTTAAGCAAAAATAAAATAATCAATGAAGTAATGTGTATGGAAGATATGTAGATAGAGAGGATAGAGGGTGCAGGTGAGCAATTGGGGAGTGAATTGTAATTATTAAAAATGTCTTCCCATCATATTCTTTACCACATCTCACCAATGTTAGAGATGTTCAAAGTTTCTTTTGAAACAATATAGCACTACAACCCCCTGAGAAATGTGGTAGTTTATATTTCTTTAGCTTGTTTCTGTGTATTAATTTCATAGTTCATGATTCAGCAAAAATGTATATTTCACCTATTAATTAGGATAGAATCTTAACATGTCCATTACCAGCTCTCAGGTGCACAGTCATTCTTGAGAAGCTGATAGTAATTCAGATACTCAAGAAATTCCCCACCTTTTATGAAACCAAAGATTTAATACCATGTTCACAAGAATACAGCATTGCATGTTCTGCCTACATCTCCCTCCTAGATGTTACTACTTTAACCTTTATCATGTGGGAACAGGGGTTTTAAACCCCATATAATGTGGCTCCTGGCCACGCTTTAGCTCTGTGGTTAACAGTTTGGTGGCATATTAGTGCAACTTACAATCAGCTGGATCATCACATAGATGATAAAGTTTAAATTAATCTATCATTATTATCATAGGCACTTTGCTATTGGTAGACACTATAATAAAGGAACCAAACTGAATTGAATTAAATTAAGTTGTGATAAGACATTAATGGGGACTGCAAAACATTTTCTGAGAACCAGTATCCTACAATGCACTTCTCATTTTAAAACACAGCATAAAAATGAAACAGTTAAAAAATGGGCACAATAGAAAAGATTGCTTATTCCTTGACTTACAGGTAAGCCATTCAATCCTGCAAGTCCTGGTGCTCCCTTAGGTCCTATATTTCCTTGTTCTCCAACAGGCCCATGTCTTCCTGGCAATCCTTGAGGACCCTCACTACCTGGTTCCCCTTTCTGACCTCTGGCTCCCTTATTACCCATTTCACCATTCAAGATACTAAGTCCTATGTCTCCACGACTACCCTTTTGACTTGTTAGCCCCTGAAACAATATAATAGTCATAATAATTATGTTAGAATATAAATGCATAATAAAATGTGTAATAAATAATACTATATGTATGGTACCATAAAATATACAGTATTCAGGTAATTGGCATGAAAATATAATTTTAAAATATTTTTCAATTCATGATTGCAGAAAAAATTTTGTTTTCTCTAAATGGAAAAGTAAAATATCCTTGGTGGGGAACATCAGCCAAATCAATGTTTGTACATCATGCATTTTCTTTTACAATCTATGTAATCAATCTTGGTATTACAATGTCAGCTTCTGTGACACATCTGGATAGAGAAGCAGAATATTTGTGCCAACCTACAGGGGGGCCAGGCAGACCATCCATGCCAGGTACTCCGGGAGGTCCTCTGAGTCCCTGATCTCCTGGCATCCCAGAATACCCTTTAAGTCCTACAGGACCTGTAATGGCTAGGCCAGGTTGTCCTTTAGGACCTGGGAGCCCTGATAAACCTTGGTTTCCTGTAATACCAGAGCTTCCTTTGCTACCATCACGTCCTGTAAAGGAATTTTATGTGTGTTGTATTCTATATTTAATACTAAAATTGTTGACATTCATTTTAAACTATATTATGACTGGAATTATCTTATTATATAAGTAATTAGTTCCATGAGAAGTCAATTGTGCAACTGGTCAAGAAATGTCCACTTTTATGGGACCTAAAGATTCATCAACATTTTCTTATCCTACTATTGAACCTTGTTCTGAATTAATTCAGTCAAGTTCACATCTCCATAACCTATTCAATAACCACACTGTGAAACTTTTAATTTTGTTAATTGTCTCCATCTTCCTGTTACTCCCTCTCATTTAGGACCACATACATTTATTACTCCATATATTTGCTCCTCATTTATGTGTTTTCAGTTAAAGTAGATGTGTATGAACCTTTTTTTTTCATTTACATTGTTTTAGTTCTAACTTTAATGTGGTTTCATGACCAGTAACAAGCAGTTATGATGAGCAGTGGTCTGTTATAGACGGACAGTTACGGAGACAGTGTCTTAAAATGTTAATATCACATTAGATACAATTATATAAACATTTTACGTTAACAGTTGTCTATATTTATCACATGGGGGTCCAGCTCTAGCACTTCATTTACACAGTATTTTTTAGGAAAGTATCTACCACAGAAGTGGATAAATTACTGTATTCTCCTCAGCACTTCTTTTCCTGACACCCTCAATCTAGGTTTTTCCATCAAGATGAGAGACCATTCTTCTCACACATATAAAGTAAAAAGTAAAACTAGTCCTTTTCTGCACTCTTTACACAAAATACAATGCATAATGGGGAGGTGTTGTCTGTCCATGTTTCATCTCTGAAACTACTGGTCAGATTTTAATGACATTTGGTATTGGGGGTCTACACAAAACAATATGTAAATTAGAATTACCCAGCTTCAAGATTTTCATCAGTAATAAGTGAACATCAAGGCCAGTGAGACACATAAAATTACAAGAGACATTTTTAAAAATATGTATAACACAAATTGGAGTATACATTTGCACTCTTGTACCTTTAATCACTAGATGAAGATGGGAAAATAATATATTCCTAACTGAACATTTGCATGCATTCCTAAATTTAATATTATCTCACTTTCATTAAGAATACTCTTTAGACTTGTTACTGTTTCACTCACATAAACTCTTCCACCTTTTCAAGTATCTTATTAACAAGAAGGAGGGACTGATAAAACCATGAACAATTATACTCATAATAGCCAACTTTGGGGTTTGGCCACATTGCGTGCTGAATGTGTTTCAATGTACTGGTAAGCGTTGCAGTTATTTACTGTACCCCGAAAGCAGTAGTTATACTGAGAACGTAATTATTGTAATATCTATAAAGCGTTTAGTATATTTCCTAAAATAGTAGTAACGTAGTAGTAATTTTCAACAAATCTTGCAAATTAAACTGACATTCACAAATGCATGCATGGATCTATCAAGAACCTAATTTGTACTGTCAGGAAACTTTTTTAATTTTAAAGACATAAGAATTGTTAATCTGTAAAACTGACCTTGATCTCCTACAGGTCCTTTGATACCTTTCACTCCCTTGATATCCAAAATGAAGTGACCTGTATCTCCAGGTTCTCCCTGACCTCCTTGGTCACCATGCTCTCCTGCTTCACCTCTGTAATCCATCACAGAAATTGTTACTTTGGCTGTCACAGCTGACCATTTATTTATCCGAACTTTTCAACAACTTACATGAAGTTTAAAAAAATATGTAGATTAAAATATGAAGTAACATCAGCCATTCAATGGCAGAACACATGTTTAGTGTTTGCAAACAAAGATAGAAGTTAATTATTAGAAAGTGAAAGACGTTGCACTTTAGGGAAGAGATTATTGTATTGGCTTTTACACCCATTCTTAAGCTTACAGGTGACCATCCAGTCCTCGGTCTCCTCTAAGGAACTCCTTTGGAATCAGAGCATCTTCACCTTTCTGTCCAGTATAGCCATCTACACCTGGTCTTCCATTTCTGCCAGAAATTCCCTCGGGACCATGTTGACCCTATAGATGCAGAGAAAGAAGTTGTAGAATCCATATCAGTTTATCTCCTTCTGCGTGATCAGATTATCAGCAAGTTAATTTAATGACTAACAGAATAATGTTAATTTTAGCCACATGTAAATACTGATTTGGTAATGGAGTTATTATTGAGCGTCAACATTTTAAGCTTGTTCGTGGACTCGAGATTCACTCATCTTTCCACTGCTTCATCCTCCTAGATGAACGTAATTGACAGAGGGTAGTTTTCATCGCCAGTTGAGATATTACAGATGCCATTTGTAATGCTTTCTTCAGCTCTGTCATTCTCATTTTCTAGTTTACGTCATTACAACCCATTTCCTTAAGATCCATATCCTTAATACTGTCTCTTTCTCATTCCTCCAAGCAGTTAATTTCCAAGAGGTTTCTCTTCTCAGTTTCATGTATGTTTTTTATCTCCTCCATCTTAGCTACATTTCCAGCCGACCATATTCTCAAAGATTTTTCTTCCCTTTTGATAATAAGTAGTTCGCATGTGTAAATTGTGAAATTTCTTTTTACGTAATGTCTTCCATTCTGTACTTATTAAAGTCCTCTGAGCTCCAAATATTTTCCCAATAACTTTGTTTCCAAACAGCTTTCATTAAAATTCTACTTGAATTGTTTCCTCAAAAGCAATTTCCACCCAAATTTTGAAACTTAGTAAAAAGATTATTTTAAAATACTTTTTTTAATGTCAGTATTACAAAGCTTATCGAACAGTTATGAAATGCAATGAACAACTTTTGGTGAATTTGACATTTTTTGGAGCTTTTTCATTGAAACTTTTTAATGTGTAAATTGACAGTTAACCATAAAAAATTTTGCAATGTAAAGCAACTCTGAAACTGATTACCATTCTCTTTCATAATGGTATATTTTGTGTACCTTCTCTCCTTTCCAACCCAGTAGTCCTTCTTGACCGGGAAGTCCTGGAGGTCCTGGGTGACCAGGTGGTCCTTGAATACCAGGGAAACCCCAGTCACCTTTTATTCCTTTTTCTGACAGTGTCGAAGGTAGAATATATATTAATTTACCTGGCTGTCCCTTTGGACCTGGTACACCCACCATTCCTGTGTAGAAAAATATTATTATCTTAATAGAATATTAAAAATATGTCAACACAAATAGGTGACTAAATGAATCAATCAGATTAGGATTACTTTAATCACATTATAGGACTGTCAGTCTTCCTCTATCCCATAAGTTTCTGGGTGGCTGAGGAAAACCATGAACACCTCAATCGGAATAGCTGGTCTCTGGGCCAAGATTTAAACCTGGGACCTCCTGAATATGAAGCAGGAGAGCTAACCACTCAACTACTACGTTCAGTTGTGAAACTGATATATTATTTCCTGCATATTATCTCTGTTTTGATGTTTATTCTTTAATGCTGCTTCTTACCTACAATTCCATTCACGCCATCCAAACCTTGCCTACCAGCTGGACCATGTTTACCCTTCTGCCCTTTGGTTCCGCGTTGACCTTGGAGTCCAGGGAATCCTGGGATGCCTGGAACTCCATTCCTTGCAGCATCACCAGGTTCTCCTTTTGGTCCTGGAACACCTGCAACATAAAAATTTATGTTATAGTGAGAAGACCGAAATCAGAAACTGCCTGAGGTAAAACCTCATATATTTTTGCATGTAGATTTTAATTTATAAGAATTTTGTCCTTCCAGTCAGAAGTATATTTATTTTGTTTTATTTACGCAAAAATTATGTTTTTGAATGGAAACTAACTATTATTAATTTTCATCTGCGAGTGTCGTTTACTACGGATGAACCAGCTGGTCTGTTGTGATGGTATGGTAGATATTCCCCCAGAATGCTCTTAGGGGCGCATATTTGGAGGTAGAATGGAACACTCTGTGTATTTTGATGCTTCATAAAATATGGCAGAGATTCTTGCTTCAGCATCTTTTCTGCTCCCATATCTTATCTAGGTATTTATAGTTTATTTAACAACGCTTTTTTAGTGAGAGTCATAAATGTCACATTTACGTATGTCCAATTATCAACAGTTACAGATCTACAGATATTTAAAATATAAGATTCTTGCGGCACTGAAAATTCAGTGATGTAATTCCTCTCCTCTGTTTACTTTGTGTTCATTCACCATGTTTTTCACGGAAGTTCTTATTCAGGTAGACTGAAATGTGGGGTGCCCCATCACTTCGTTATTTTATATGGTTGTGAAACGAGATTGACTGTTTGAGAATGAAATGTTGAGGAGATTATTTGCATATAAGAAAGATGAAGTAACATCAGGCTGGAGTAAATTCCATAATGACCAGCTTCATAATCTGTAGTAAAATGAAAGGGAATGAGAAATACAAAATATTGTAGGTCTTAACGACATATTAATAGCACTTTGAGAAAAAAAATCATAATTTCAAGTTGGGGAGCGATTCGAACCACAATGAAATTCGCGTAACAACTTTTTATGTTAGCGTCCAGTATCAGGTTTCTTATAAGTCAGTTCAGTTCAGTTATTTCGGAGATGTAACATGCGGACAGACACGTCCCCCAATTTATACGTCCACTTTATGCAAAGAACGCATGGCAATCTGTAAGTGACATCAACATTGCCTGATTCCTTAAAAAAGACAAACAAAATAAACTTGGTCCAATGTTTTCTAAAACACGGCTGGTAGCACTAGAAGAATTCATTATGATAAGTCATCGTGAAAGCTTCATTCAGATCATACAATATTATCCTTTACTTAACTAATTACCAACATGATATTTATCAGGTAAATTAATTTATCCTCAGAAATAATTACTTTAGTTTCAGTCTGGTGCCTGTTCATATAATAAATTGTAGATACATATTTATGCGTTAAAATGGCACCGGTCATTCCACAAAAGTAGGGGAGTTCCTTGAATATCTCAGCCTATTATTAGCTTCTTCAGAATGATTCTGCTCCATGGAGTTTGTTAGAACTCCGGCCTATCTGGAAAAGTTGCCATCTATAAATTGTATAATGTATTTTTAGTACAACGTAAAGAACGCGTGACCCTATGAATGAACCACCACACATGTCCAGTGTTTGGATAATTAGTAACATCCCATTCAACAAGTTATCAGACGCAACCGCCCTGTGAAGATACGAGGATGCAATCAACTTCCGGCGACACAGGATGTCCTCTGAGTCAGGGCTCGCGTGATAAGGAGCAAAAAGGCGACGACTCTTAACCACTTTCATTGATATTTAAATTTATCAACCTCAAAACTTCAAATATTTCATTTCCCAGGTACTTAGTTTTCTGGGATGAGTTTCATAATTTGCAAAGCTCCATGTCGATGTTTACTTGCCGTTGTTTTATTAAAACTATCCAAAAACTTAATCCCTATTCACTTGCTGTGTTTCCTCCTCTCGTATAATTCCTGCAGATTGTTCGTAATTTTCGTCTTGTCATTCCAAGACAATACGAGGATAGTGCCTGAAGATACACACGACACCTTTCATACACATCCAGCCTCAAATGTCATTTCTTAAATACTCCGTAACAAACTCCTTCCTGAGAAGCTGACAGAGGCTCAATTGGTTAAGTTGTGCCCGTATTTTGTGGAACCCGAAAGGTTCGTTACTGTCTTCAGAAGGGCTTGACACTGAACTCTACTCTGAGTCACCTGAATCCAATCCACAACCTGACGCCTTGCTAGTTATAAACTGGCGGGCTAGAATAATGCCCTACTTGAAAAGTTGGACATCAGTTCTTAAAGAAATATCCCATCATTTATGAAACCAATAGTTTCATTACCGTTTTCACAAGAGCCCACCCCTGGACTCTGTTCTTAGCTACCTTAATCCAGTCCGCATATAAAAACCCTGTTTGTTAACCTCTCATGCCTCGTGCACATCTAAATAACACTGTTGAAAACAATGTTACTGCAATTTTTTGTTATCAATGACATACGAATGTCCAGACCGAAAATGAAATTTTGAAATAAACAAACTTTCGATTTCGGTCTGTACGTTTATGTTAAAAAAAATCAGGAATGTTATTTACAAGTGGACGCGGCTTAACAATGTTTTAAACATTTGTTTATATATTTCCTTTGATTTTTACCGACTGTGGACAGGAAGACATTTTTGCGGGTATGTAATGGAGGTGTGGACGGGGCTTTAACACAAACATTCTGCCTAATGTAGCAACGGAGTGCGGCATTCCCGTTTCGTATTGGCTGTAATTCGCGGTCCTTACAGGAGTTTTCGTGATAATTATAGAACGCTGTTCCGTTTTGTGTCGATAGGATCGGAAGCCATCTTGGATTCTCTGATGCTTAGTCTACTACATTGTCGCGATATGCACCAGCCTCGATTTACTTTCACTTCGGTCTGCAATGAAACAAGTTTTCTGCAAATGAGATACAAATATTCCTTCACCTACTGACCTCAGGCCAGTAAAAAAATCTTGAGAGACAAGGGGGTTATTGCACTGCCTAGAAACGCTACTTTCTTTGTTAGATGTCAAGTTAGCCATCATTTTCATTCTTTCTTCTAGATTAGTGATTTGAACCGAAGGCCCGAGGATCGCTGCCTGTCCACTGCTTAATTTATACCAGATCCAAACCCTGCCCCACTTCGGAAAATTAAAATACCGATATGGAAATCAGAATTTAAAAGTACTTCTTTAAATGCTATCTAGGAGTTCAACTTTCAGACTACCTGAATCACCCTTCAGAAGGAAAAGAATGAAGGAAAACTATAGGCCTAAATCTCAACTACAGGTTATCTGAGCCTGGATGTGCCATCATCCAGTTTGGTGGTCGGAGGGAATCAGTACTTAGTATGTTCCTTCGGTTGCAAGTGCAAGAGAAGCTTTCCATGAACCCACCAGGAAGTTCCATACAGGCACAGAGAAGCTCAAACATGACTTCAGTAACCTTCATAAATAACTTTTGTAAAATGAATACACTAGCATCACTTATACAATTTTTGTTCATCCCCCTAAAAATAAAAGCACACAAACATCTTTCATTATGAGTTTTCTCAGCAGTTCCTTACAACTTTGTCATCCCAAGCTGTACATTTACTGATTATTGCATTAAGATTTGTACAGAACATAATTTTCAGATCACATTTCAGAGAAAAACTTACCTGGCAAACACACTCCACAATCATCTCCCCTGGGACCACGTACACCTTTACTTCCGTGCAGCCCCTCAAGACCAGGGAGTCCAGGAGTTCCTGGTGATCCCGGAAGTCCTGACTCACCAGAAGGCCCCCGAATAGGGACACCTATACCTGGAAACCCCTTTGGCCCTGAAAGAATGAGATTCAGAAACAGTTGAATAGAAGTTTTATGCTGAACTGAAGCTTGTAATTTATATTTTCAACCTCAGAAAATTATATTTAACGGTGCTCTCTGCCTACTTCCTAGGTGATTACAACCAATTCTATAATGGAAAAGCCAATTTGTCACTGATTATCAGTGGATTAATAGTGGGTCTGTGGGTAGGAAGATCATTGGAAAACCCCTTACCGTGTAAACCATTTTCACCACGATCTCCTTTTGGCCCATCAAAACCATCACGTCCTGGTATTCCATCTTCACCTGGTGACCCTGTTATTGTGAGCCCAGGAAAACCCTTTTCTCCTAAAGCACCTAACTGACCAGGTACACCTGGACTTCCCTGAGGACCTTGGGGACCTGGCAAACCTGTAATAACAATTTATTTAGTATTAAGAAATTATTTAAAATCATTCGTAATGAACTAAGTAACAGGAAGATGGAGAAAATTACGTAGCTTCATAATTTGTGCCCTTCACTATATATTATTAGAGTGATGACATCAAGGAAAATTAGATGAGTGGAACATGTAATACAATGCAAATGAGAATTAATACAAAATGTGAGTCTCAGGGATGTGAACGTGTCTAAAAGGAAAGTTGCCTGTTATGTTATTGGAATGTTTCTTACCATCATTCCCTCTTTCCCCTTTAATGCTGATTCCTTTTGGTCCTCGGGATCCAGGCAATCCGGCACTCCCCGGTTCGCCCGGAGGACCGATGAACCCTGTGTTCCCAGGTTGACCGGGTATTCCAGGAAGTCCTCGATCTCCAGGAGGACCTGGTAGAAGGAAGGCACTGTGATAAACATCCACTCATTCATTAAAATAATTGTGTTGTCACTGCTAGGATACAAACCTATAGGCCCTTGATGTCCAATAACACCAGGACCTCCTTCTTCATCCAAATTAGGGTTATAAATCCCAGGTTCTCCTTCAACTCCTTGTACTCCGGGTGGTCCGATTGCACCCGGTGTCCCTAGTGGCCCCTAATAACAGGCAATAACATAGTAATGAATATCATGGAGTGTTTCAATTTGCTGTTTGTCTGTATTTATTCATGAGATCTAAAAGAATATATTGCCATGACACCTTGTGCCTAAAATATAATAAGACCCGGTACTTTTCTTACCTTTGGTCCATCTTCCCCTGTCTTTCCGGCATAACCTGGGGCTCCTTTTGCCCCTTTGGGTCCACTTGGTCCTGGAGGCCCGTCCTTGCCCTGTTTTCCTCTCTGTCCATCTGGGCCTTGTCCCCCCTTCACTCCTTTGGCTCCAATAAAACCAGACTGACCCTGACAAGGAAACATGATTAACTAAAACCTCTGCAATAGTAATTTTTCTTGAATCTTATTGTCATAAAGGCGCTTCAGCTGCCACAGTTATTTGCGCCATCATCCGGGAATTGAACCTGCAGTTTTTTTTCTGTTTAACAGGAGATCCACATTCGAGCCCAACGTGAAGAACTTTAAACATTCCGTTGATTCTGTTCGTATTTTAGAATGATTTTTTTTTATAACCCCGGGACCGTGCCATAGCGTAAGCGGTTAGTTTCCGACTTTTTACAGCCGATGTTCGCTACCAGATCAGACCATATGGGATTTTTGGTGGGCAGAGTCGCTCTGGGATGAGATTTTTCAGATTTCTTTGGTTTTTCCCTGTGGTTTTTTTGCTTTGAAGGAACGTACAGCGTGTCTCACTTAACGTGGAACCCGCCACGACAGCATGCCGCAGCTGCAGCGAGCGAACTATCGGGAAATGACGGAAGTCAACGCAGAACATGGCCGTTGCATGCTAGTAGGTTGGTTTCGTGTTATGTGGGACACTGTGTATGATTGTGAAATCCAGAAGGCTGATGGACTGGACATGTGACTGAGATAGGGAAACGAACAATGCATCTCGCATTCCTGTAGGTGCCGGGGACCTCTTGGGAAACGTCCTCTTAAAATACCGAGGATAAAGTTGAGATGAACTTCCAGAGGCAGGTTATGAGTTTGAGAGGTGGATGGAACTGTCTCAGGATCGTATCTATTGGAAGGTTTTGATATTAGTGCATTGTTAGTTTATATATGCGTATTTAGGAACGCTTGCTATTGAACGTTGCCAGTGATGTGTCCTAATGTTGTTCCTCAGACGTTCGTATGCATCTTATTAAAGGCATATCTTACGACTTTCTCCCAGTGATAATCTCTTTGTTGTGACTTACATTATGGTTGAATTGTGGGTTTCTATATTAAGGCTGGTTATAAATCCAATTATCACACTAAACACCGTTCAGTATAAATTATATCCGTAAGAATACGTCATTAATAATCCGTCTAGAAACATCCGACAAACGGCACAAATACAGATGACGTAATGTCCATTAAGCGTATCCTGTTACTGGTTTATATGCATTGGTATGAAAATCTTGATTTACGTATCCGAAAACACAAAGAAAGCGTATTAATTTTGCATTTACAAACACTTTTAAAGCCTGACACAAACTTCTAATCTGTTAAAGTAAACAGGATCTGAGTGTAATACAAGTATTTGATGCTCAATGTGAAGGGCTCAAGTCAAATATAACCCCTCTTTACTTCTTACTAAGCACAAAATAACTTACAATTACCTGCAAAAAAGAAAAAATATTAACACGCTCTTAACGTTTAACAGCGTTTGAATTTGTCTTACTTGTGGTCCTTTTGGTCCGATTTCTCCCTTCAGTCCTCGTGATCCAAAATCTCCTGAGGCCCCTTTTACGCCCTTTGGTCCCTTCCATAAATATATGGGAGGATGCTCCACATCTTCTTCTCCGTCATGAACGAGTTTACCCGGTGGTCCGGGGTCCCCCAAGTCTCCTTGTTCTCCTGGCATTCCGGGTAATCCTTGCTTTATCTCTCCTGAATCTCCGCGGGGACCCTCTAGTCCCGATGCTCCATGGAGACCCTGCGCATGAGTAGACGCAATGCGCCAACGTTTTATCGTTGCTGTTTAAGGCATAACTTCAGAAACACGAGGACTGTCGTTCTGATCGCTTAGATGCGTATCCAAAAGATTTGGTTCTCTGCTGATATTCTCAGATCTAGCTCAGAAAGTAGGCCAGGCTGTTGCAAATTTTATTCCAGTTCCAGACGGAAATACGATGTACGAGTATTTTAGTATCTGAAATGTACTGATTCAAATAAAATTAACACTGCTGCATAGGCTTGGCCTCTCTAAAAATGTTTTCCGACATTTGGTAACACTCCTTGGGCGGCGGTTCGGCCCGTAGCAAGGCAGCACAACACAAAACGACAAGAACACGCATCATGCCTCAAGTTGGATTTGAACCCGAGATCCCTGTGTTGGAGCGGCTAAGACCCGCGCCTTGTACCGCGCTGTCATTGTGATTGGAACTAAAATTCTGGAACTTTAGACAATTAAAATTTACCAATTAAAAGAAAAGTCTTGTCAGGTAACTCACTTGAAATCCAGGTGGACCTGAGTAACCTGGTCGCCCTGGTTCACCCTTGTAGCCAGGAAGTCCCTGGAAAATGTACGAGCAAAAAAAAAAGCAAATTATTTGCTGATTAATATCTCTCTGACAACAGAATCAGAAATGTCTATTCCGGTATCATAAACGCCCACCATTCGACACGATCTGACAAATTCTGATTGTGAAGTCTGCTTTGTCAGGAGCCAGTTAAATTCATATCAAAGCTTTACACCCTGTTTGTTGAAGACCCATTTCAAGGTTAGCAACGCCAACAAGAAACAAATTTATATCCATTTACTGCAACTTGCCTCTATCCCGGGTCTTCCTGGGATTCCCCGGTCTCCTTTCACCCCCTTGGTATTGACACCTCCCTCCCCTGGATCTCCTGGTATACCAGGGGGACCATATCCTCCCGGAAGTCCCCTTCCGCCAGGTATTCCAGGTTGACCGTGTTGTCCCGGCTTACCGTCTGTGCCGTTGCAGCCATCAAGTCCATGCGGTCCTGTGGGACCTTCATCCCCAACCGCTCCCTGTTAAGAAGTGTGTGACGTACGCTGAAATCATCCTCTCTCGAGTTTTAAAATATGGAAAATAATAAACAAGATTGCCTGCCTCATTCTTTCCTGTTAGGAGCGCAAGTAATTGGCGTCTCTGCTACCTCAATGTCGACCTCATCTTCTCGACATGATAACAAAGCCCGCAATTGGACACGATCATAAGCCAGCTACATCAATCTCCGATCTTTAGAATCTCCCTTAAGACCAATCTTTATGTTATCCTCTTATTTTCTCCACGATCTTCCGTGAAGTCGCCTACACTAAAATTCTATACGCATTCCTAACACATCAATCCAAGCTACACGTCCAGCTCACTTGTTTCTCCTCTCTGTAAAGACTGCAGAAAATTTATGATTGGATAAATATCGAAGCGGGATGTAGCGAAAAGAATAAGAAATTTCATCACAAATTCTGCGTGCACTATGATATAGTTTACGTATTATTGACAGTGTAGTGTTCTCTGGATGAAATTAATTACCCGTATCAAAATTCTACTCGAGTTAACTTTGTACACGATGATTTTTCCGATACTGGAGTGATGTGGTGGAACTTTCATCGCCGTAACTTTCGCGTTTATCCTCTTGATATAAAAGTGGGTCAGTAATTGTGTTGTACACATATTTATTCCTTTCGCTTTATTTCTGCAGTTAAACACTGCTCGTTTTACATGGAACCAGTTTGATAACCTCTTGGTTTATTTCCACACACTTCCTCGTATGCTTTGGTGTTGTCAGACGCCTACCCCTACACTGTCAAATGAATTCGATAAAGATGGCTGTCTTCTGGGTTGTTGCGCCGTGCAGTCTGGTAGATGTTTGTCGACGTTTCAGAGGTGCTTGCTGCATCCGTTGTCTGTGTGATGATCGCCCTGATGATGAAACATCGGTAAACTTTATCAGACAACACGGCGCAACAACCCAGAAGACATCCATCTTCAAAAATATAAGTTAAAAAAAGGCACCATCACGCTCTTTTAATTTTTCCACTGGAATAATTCTTTATTTTCACTCAAAAACGAACGGACCGCGGCATTAACCTGCCCTGACTAACAGACAAAGTATTCTGAACGAAACAGAATGCAGCTCCCCATAATTTCAGAGCATATACACCCATGCATGCTATCAGCCTTCCTTTGTCTTGTATTCTGCGTGACTGTTGGTAATTTCTTCATGACAGTGACTACAAAATGTAGCAAGTTTTGTCGTTATTCATCTTCACGAGATAGCCTAGCTGAAGCTTCGTGATGCTCTAACAGAGGGAAAGAATTATCAATGATATGAAGTGATTCTTATGTGGACCAAAATAATGCAAACGTTGAACTTACCAGGTACAAAATCTTTCCATTTCAGTTAAAAAGACATTTTATTTTACGTCACCTTCTGAAAGAAAAAATCTAAGTTTGTCCAGGGCTGTCGTCTAGCCAAGGAGGCGGCTTCCCGGTGCTTTGGCCCTCCTTTTGAAGGGAATAATATTTAACACAGGCAAAGGCCCAAGGGCAGGCTTCGTCTGAGGCCCAGTCCCCCAGATAAACTGTATAAGACTCGAAGTACGTCTTTCTAGAAACTTGGAAAAGCTATGGAATATAAAACTCAGAACTTACAGCTTAATTAATGCGCGTTCTTTCTGTCTAGGGCGGCAGCGCCGGCCTCTTTAAGTATTTGCATTTCATGTTTTCTTTCAATTTTGTAAGGATATCATCAAATAGAAGAAATCTCCGTACAAGAAGTTTCCTGCCCCTCAACCCATGCAACGTTTTCACATATGAGACAAATAGATTTACCGGTATTCCTGGAGCACCCCTGAATCCTGGAACGCCACCATCTCCCTGTAAAGAGAAAAACAGAGTTAAAAATGAATATTAATCAAGAAATTTTCAGTGAACGTAATATCAGGGGCCATATGACATCATCACGCATGCGCAGATTATTATGGGTAATAACGTAATCATCGTCCCACCTCACGAATTTGCACATCCGTCACGATGGTATCACCAACTGTAGGAAATTCTAAAATATTATTGCAGCCTACGTTCCAATGCCATCTTCTTACCAAATTTCATGGAAATCTGTTCACCCGTTCCCGTGTTATTACAAGGAGAATTTTAATTCAAAAAGACACGGACAGATGGCGACTTATCCGATTATGGATTCAGTAAGCATTCTGAAACGTCGGTCATTTTCTACCAGACTACATGGCCATGTTTTTCTCAGTAGTACCACGAAAAGTTTCTAGGGGTCGTCGAGTTTAGCGTCATGTGAAAAAGGTTGGTAACACTGCAGGTTTTGTTAATTGATTTTCAAAAAACCCCACCTCCACCCCCCGCCCGGATAAAGAACATTCCTACGGTAATGACACAAAGCATGTCGAAGCGTGCCCTGCAGTCAGCAGTAATGGAGTCTGAAGCCTGGGAAGGTTCATTCACTCTCCCCGAAGTTAAACAGATGTCTATTCGCTGTTGAATAATACCTCCTTGTTTCTGTCGGGTTTATAAGTCTGGCTGCCATACAAGTCTGCTATTCGCTTGTACCGACTCAAAACGCCAATGAAGTCACAACTTAGTGAGCATGTAATGAACCACTGCCGCAATTAGGTCAAAGTGCTTTCAAGGCAAATCGTCATTAAAACTATCTGAGCGAATTCTGTCTTCCTTCATCAGGAACCAAATTTTCTTAACCGCTTAGGATGTGCAATATGAAACCTGGCCTACCTAAAAGTCAGCCCCACCTCAGCTCTTTAAAGCACACTAGTAGCTTACGTGTGCTTCTCCGACGAGGTCCGACCCAGATATAAGGCATGTGCTCTGTGACCCCACTCCTATGAGCGGTCTTTTCTTGTTGAGTATATCCACATTTTCTGAAGTAGGATGAACTTCGACGCGAGCCGAGGTACTCCATATTTAAGTCGACACGTACGGAGTACCTGAATGATTAGTTCCATGACCGATGGATTGGTCGTGGTGGTCAGCAGAATTTGCCACAGCTGTCATAGGAGCTCACTAACCTAGATTTCCATAAAACATGGCGTATTACGTAAAAGTAAACGGACTACATTATCGGATTTTCGATGTTGCACGACTCATGAATCTTGAATTTCAAATATTCGTAGCATCTAACAGTTAAGAATGGAACTTACATTCATAAGACGTTTATGACTGGAGATCCTGAAGGTTCGCATAAAATCAACAGGCATTATCTTGCCTTTATTTACTCGTCTCAGGGAAATTATGCGCCATTTCACTTGATCTCTTGTACGATCAGATATGCCCTCAAGAGCTTGCTCTCAAACCAGTGTCACGAAGTCTGCGTTCAATGCAAGGAAATGGAATACGGTTCTGGGCTTGACACATGTTATCTGCTGCCTGGAAATGAACAAGGCGACCGTTAGAGACGAGAGAAAAGCAAGATGTCGTCACCCGAATGTGGGAAATGTTTAGTGTATGTTTAAATTCCTGTTTTGGCATGAAATACAATGACATCATTGCAGTAGCTATATGGGGCAGTGAGAGCACGCAGTTCTGATGGCGACGACGCAAAAGGAAATGACTGACATTTTACTTTTTAATTTTGTAAAGTTATCTAAGTGTTACATAGTTGAACAGCTGACTGCTACAACTCATTACTATTCGCATTCCAGCGGCGACTGACGGACGTCACACAAATCAAATATATACTGGGTGTCCCAAAAAGATATATACACATATTCAATGACTAAATTATGAAGCCATTTTAATAAACTAAACCATTACATAAATCAGCATTCCCATTTAATAAATTTATAAAGTGCAATTTGACGTATTCGTGGGTTGGACTCATATATAGACAGTAGCACATCGAATCATAGTCTAATACGAATATCTTATTGCCTTCTACTTACTTACCACTTACTTTAACAATCAATAGATCAGTATTTTGCCCACAGAGCATATTAGTTTCGTATGATCTTCAGAAGACAGCGACTGTTTCCTCAAACATCTTTTAACCATTTGGTATTTGTAACTCAGACTTGCAAATTTCTTTGAGCTACAATACGAATTGAATATTTAAATTTTGTGTAGCAAAGTTTTGGCTTCAAAGGGTAAAGTATAAATCTGTTGGACAAAACCTTAAAAGATTCGCACTATTATAATGTTTTTTTCTCAAAGTGGGAAAAACATAATGGTAGAAGGTAAAATAAAAGAGGGAATGGGATTAAAAAAGAGTTAATAGAAAAATCAAGGCAGAAGTGATAGAAAGAGAGAAAACAGATAAAGAGAGGAATGTAGAACGTCAAATAGAAATGCTTATGTAAAGAAAGGGAACGACAGAAGAAATTAAAGATACAAAAAACAGCAGACAGAAAGAGGAAACGGGGAAAATGGGAGTGGAAAGACAAGACAAAAAAGGAAGAACGTAATACTGAGATGAATAGAAAGATGGAAAGAAAAAAGAGAAGACATGAAACGAGAGAAAGAGTACACGCGTGTATCTCAGTCACTAACAGAGGCGAGTGACCTGAAACCAGACGTTACATCACTGACAAATGAGAAACAGCAAAGTGGGCGCTGCTTGCCATTCAGTCGTAATCTTTTATTGCCTCCATTATGCATTAACAGCTTCTCAACTGCTTCGTTCAGCAACTTAGCTAGAAGGAAGTGGGGCCATTTCTACTCAGAAATATTCTCACATTTGCTGTTGACTTAATTTGTATCCATTTCCATTCCACTTCATCAAAACACGATCAATATACAACAGCAAAAAGCCAAGAAGAGCTGGGAACTCTCTTATAGTCACAGGACTATTGTATTCTAATTTGCTTGTATAGTACAGTGGTATTATTACATGTCTGGATGCATTCTTTGCACGAAGGGTGAATAAGGGTATAATGGGGTCTTCTCTATCAGCATGTTTCGTCCCTTAAACTCCTGTCCAAATCTGAATTAAATTTAGTGTGGTTGGATGGAAACGAATATGTAATCAGGATCCTCATGATTTGTGCTCTTCGCCAATTATTTTGGAGATCAAATCACGGAAGATGGAATAGGTTAGACATTTTGCGCACATGACATATGCATAAAGAATTTCAGTCGGGAAATCTGAATGGAAGATACCAGACAGATGATTGGATGATGTTAAAATGGTTCCAAAAGAACCAAGATGTGAGGGCGTGGACTACTCGTATATTCAATTGACACAGGGCAGGGTTCAGTGGCGGTTTTTATTCTATAAAAGACGGGGAATTTCTTAACCAACCAAGCGATCAACCTATAAACTTCTCAAGAAGGGCCCTGCTCCATGGAGTTTCTTCATTAGTTTATTTATTGGTTAAATTTTGGTTGCAAAGCCTGAATGGAAGACACCATTCACTTGTGAGACTTCGGCAAACGTGGAAGAATAATATTAAAATGTATCTTACGGAAATCGTGTTTGGGGGGGGGGGTCGATTGGATTCATCTGGCTGATAATAGAGACGGGTGGCAAGCTCTCGTGAACACGGTAATGAACCTTCGGGCTCCATAAAACGTGGGGAATTTACTGACTTACAGCGCGTACTATCAGTTATGTTACTGATTTTTTTCTAATTTCTAACAGATGTTCTGTACAGATGGAAACATATGAATCAAAAGAGATGCCATAGGGGTTCCCAGAACCTTTTTGTTGTAATTACATTCTATCAGTTAGGCCAATGGTGAAGCGAAGGCCTTATGTGCTGTTGGCAAGAGAAAAAGCACGTTTTGAAATGTAAGAAAACCAGGATAGCTTAAAAAAGCTCGCGAAGAAAAAACTCTCACCCAACTGGAACTGACTACGTCGGATGCTCTTTCTTTGATTTTATCATCTGGAATAAGACTCACACACTCTGATAATTAGTTTTGAGAAACGCCGCCTGGGACTTGCACTCTTTCTCCAGAGAATATACGCGTTTATCGGCACGGGACTTGACAGTGAGTGAGTGCCTCAGGGTACGGCCAGTAGTGGTAATGAAACTTAGAACATCTTCCGTTGAAAGCTGGGGATTTCTTAACCAGCTGAGTTACTGTCAGCAGTAACGACTGTGCTCCATAGTACCTGTTGTGTTGTCTGTAGTAAGCCGCACGTGTGAAATCGGTTGACTACACACGCGCGACTTACTCATCGCCCTAATGATGGAGGCTGTAACGACCTCCGAAATGTTGATAACATTCTACCAAACTACACGGCGTCACAACCTAGAAGACAGCCATCTTCGTGCTGTATTGTTTAATTTCTTGATGAATTATCTGCATACTGTGTCGTGTTTTGTATATTCTTTTAGTGAAAGGCAGCCATGATCTCATCAACACTGTCTGGTTTACAGTTATATAAGCTGCGATTAAGCTCATCTAAATTACATTTAAAATTAATTCCCTACCTAAAATAAAATATAATGCTTCACCATTACAAAGATCAACTGGTTGACGCTGTTTAAGGAAATAACTGCTGTTTACTATTAATCATACGAAACCCATAAATTCACTCTGGACAAAATGCAGGGTGACTGAAGTACTTTTTAGCAACGCATAATTTACCACTGCAATTTTGATATTTAAGGTGAGGACGTTGTAGACTGTACTTTTGCACATCCTAACCCGTGAAATGAATTCAGTTTTTTGATGATGGGACACAGAATTAATTATGAAATTTTCATTGACTTACATGATGACTTAAACTGAAAGTACTTTGACTACCGTAGTGGTTCATTCCAGCCTGTACTTGTAAGTTGTGGGTTCACTGGCATATCGGAACTTAACACGCCCGAAGAAGACGTACGTACATGGCAGCTACACAAATACACCCCAAAGAAAGCGGCGTCATTAGCCTCGAATACGGTAGATATTATATTTTAGTTTTGGCTTTTGTGTTTGTTTGTGTTAATCATGTAAGCATTCTCCTATCGACCTATTTTACAGCTGGCAATGGATGTTTTTCCATGTGTATTTAGGTACTTTAATAACTCTTGAATGAAATGGCCGACTTGATTCAAAGAACGTAACTACGGCAAGCGATCTCCTTCCGTTAACTTATCCATTTCATATTACAGTAAATCTTCAAGTGGTGACCTTGAAATCTTATGGGCTTTGAAATCCCCTGTTCTTCACTTACAAATCCATCTTGTGTCCAAGTGTATTTTTTTACAACTTTGTTTTCAAACAGTTGCTATTTATATTTTTCATGCAGAGGAAGGGAACGCATTTTACAACTGCGCGAAAATATTTTTAAAATGACTTTTCATTTATATATTTATCTTCAGTGTTTCGGGAAGTATATGAGACGGTAACATTTATTACACCAAATACTAAGAAACATTTGGTGAATTTGTTATGAGTTAATTTTATAGTGAATCTCGTTTTTTAAATTGCTCAGTCAGTGAAGTGACTAGAACAAAACAACGGGGTTAGGTTCCCATTGGAGGCAGAGAGGGCTCCTCGCCCGGAAATAAAGCGACCGGAACATTCAAATCGACTTTCCTCCTTTATTAGCAAGGTTAAGAGTGAGCGGACCCTTACCTCCACTCCCCCTATACGTTTTCATGGCGTAGTACATGTTACTGGGACAGCTTCATTTTACATTGCCTCACTTTTCGTTATTTTTGTTTCTGTAAGTCTTATATAATTACAGTCTTAAATATTTTCAAATGATTTTCACTACATTTTCCCAGATCAACATAAATAGAACATCTTATATGTATTTTATGAAAACCAAGTATGTTTCAAATCTTCTCCAAATTAACACCCACAGTTGGATCTACAGTCTCTGTGGACCTCTCGTTTTAAGAACTGCGAATTCTAAGATAAATATTGAGCTTCTAGAATAATCAAGGCAAACTGGTTCTTGTTGTCCCACGCGTCCGCCCATTTACATCCAGCGCAGCTGAAAAAAATACACGAGTTACTTTTACCAAACTACTCATTTCATAAATTAGAACACCATAAGGCATACGTTGGGCCTATTTATAGGCCCACATGCTATGTAACAACTGCCTTCTTGCAGTCTCTTACAGAGTTACTTAGACGTTTGTAAGCCTTTTTCTTTAAAAAAAAAGCCTGTGACAAACCCTTTAAACCCCAGTGGTAATTGTGTGTACCACCTCCTTTAATCAGTAACACTGCATTTTGCCTTCAGAATGTGTATGATTCTCTGCTGAGATTCGAACCATTGACGTTTCCACTAGAGTAGAGAGGAGAATATTCTGTCTGCAGTAATATTTCAATCATGAATTTTGGTAATGAAGAAGTCACACTCTTTGAGGTCTGTGGCATCTTTGGTTTTCGTCGAAGCACGGATATACGCGTTGTTGTCACGTGCAGATAAATGCACTGCGATGTGTCGGGACGTGAACAAAGATTCTGTGCCTCAATTCTCTGTAGTGAGAAATCTTACGCGGTTGTGGGAGGAGTCTTTTTGTGCGGAACGCCACTGCACCAGAGATGTTACAAAGCTACTTAGATAAAACATGAGTTCCACGAATCTTGGAGCTCTGAATGCAAATGGGGACATTGAACGCCGCGTAACCCCTGTGTTTCTATCGGATGCGGAAACAAGCGACCACCTCGCAGACTAGTAATGATTGCTTCAAGCGTTCGCTAGGCACAAACACACACGGGCGAATAAACAGCTGATTTAAATCGATCGTCGGTATCTGATCGATTGGAGCAGGATTTGAAAGATGGATGTCTTGACTGAAAGCAATATATACCACTGTAGAAAGCAGGAACTGGTCACTCTGTGAAAAGGAGTTGCTACTTGTACAATGCTTTTATTTCTTTCCTAAGGCTTCAGTGCCATTTTTACTCGATTGTTTTGCGCGGAAGTGCCACCTCCATTGTATGTGGGATAAGCTTAACATTTGAAACGTTTTCATGATTTTTATTGTGTTGTTCATCTTGTCTTGTAATACCAAATAAAGACGAGAAGACTCATTTGTGTTCCTTTCGGTCATTGGTGTACGTTCTCGCATTATCTGGCCTCTGTATCGTATTACAGATATGCTTTTGCTGTTAAGTTATGCAATCTTATATCTCTTTCTCATAAGATTTTGTTTGCCGATTTTTTTTAAATATTTCCGAGTAAACAGACCTAAACTTTGCGAAAAGATCAGACCTACAAATTGCGAAAATCTCATTTATTCGTGTAAACCTTTTGATACTCGATCTCTCTTGCATCAAAATATTTTCGTTAGCAGTTTGTTCTCGCTGTCTGCCTCTGCCCAAGACAATTGGAACGAATATTTCGAAATTTAAAATTAATGAGCACAAACGTCAGTACAGTGTAACCAATTTTGCTGAATGTTGTCGAAGATATCTTGCTTTCACATCGGACAGTAAACCCTGCAAGACGCTCCGTCTAATAATGTAATGAACTTTAAAGAGGTCAGTTTTGAAGGCATTGCGTCTCCTCTTTGTTATCCGATGCCCTTAGGACATCACGGAATGATGCCTCTCGTGCCAATCTCAGTTCATCTCGCGATGAATATTGTCGAGTAAAGTTGTCGGAGGAATTTTGAATCACTTGCATGATAACATATTTTTGTGAATCAGTTCATTGTGAATGGAATTACATAAGTACAGATCTGAAAGTGGCTCTGTGCTCTTACAGAATTGAGAAAAACTGCTGATACTGGTTCTGCTTATAAAACCTTTTAACCTCCAAGTTTTGATCGAGATAAATCGTTTGAAACTGGTTGGATTTCATGTATGACACAATTAGCTGTAAGAAAACTTTCCGACCCTTTCAGACTATCGATCTACAGTTTCTTACACAGTTGGAATCAAAAGTTATAATGGAAATCTGAAAATAAAACATACTCTTGAGAAAATGTTAATCAAACAAAGAGTTAAAAGAAAAATGTTTTTGTATGTAGATTGAAAATCGATCGAATTATTTAGTAAATCTTCAGATTAGTCTGTGTGTCTGGACAAAACATTGAACTTGGAATATTTGTAGAGTTTAAAACAGATTGGCCTCATTTTGTAGGTACAAAATAAAGCCCAGTTTGTCTTCTATGAAATGTATCTGATACTCACTCGGTAGCCCTTCTCTCCAGATCCGCCATCTTCTCCTGAAGCACCCTTCTCTCCTTTGGTACCGGGAGGGCCCTCGAATCCAATATCTCCAGGCAGTCCCTCGCTACCTCTCAGCCCGAAGATTCCCAGTTCCCCAGGGAGTCCCTTGATTCCAGTGCAGTCGCATTTGTAAGTTCCAATACACCCTTTACAGGCCTGAAACAAGGAAACACTCTAATAACACATCAGGGTTTCTGCACTTGTTGACAAATGATAACGAGGAACTGTAAAGTTAAGACATTCCGCACAAAATTTGCTCTGATCTGTTACATTATGAATTCTACAAGAAAATTTCCAGTCAAGAGTGACGATAAATCTGAAGTAGTACATAACAAAACACATTGTATCGAAAAGTGTAACAACGCGGCTTATAAAAATTAGAATCGTTATTCATCTTTGACTAATTACGCAAGCCGCGAATCGTTAACATGTAAATATTTGCTTTCCTGCGTTGTATAGAAGTACATGTACATAGGCCATGGACGACAGATAAAGGATCGCCAACCAACACCTGCTTATTATATAGATAATAAAAAAGATTAATATGGAACTGGCTTCTTACTCCAAAGCAATAGTATGGATTGAGGGTGCTATGTAGAATATTTTGATCCAAAATGCAGGAAATGTCAGGATGGGAGGAGCTTGTAGTACGCATGGGAAATATGAAAAACGAATACAAAATGTCCGTAGGAAAATCTTAAGATAAAATGACGTTTGAGATATCCAGGGCGTGATCCAGCTGGCTGGCCCTTCTTAACAAAGCAATGAAAATGTTTTCCTAAAAGTCAAAGAATTTCCTTCCCCAGTGAGCAACTCTCTACTTCTCAAGAAGGACTCTGCTCCATGCAGTTAATCACTTAATTCCGTCTTCGGCGTGTCATCAAATGCTAACTCCTGTGACTGGCATTTCAGGGAAACCATTATCTCTATTTTGCTGCGTATAAAAACATATCTGCGGCTGCAGGAAGCCGTTCAACATCAGCTGTCATAATAACGAGCCATATTTGGTAGGAGCTTAGGTCAGAGTTGACGTGATGCCCTATTTTAGCGCGAGATACATGTTTTCTTCTCAGGAAGTTCTCCAACTACGTACATGACGTAAGAACTGAACAGATGTTCGAGTCCCATCACCAGAATTCAGGATGAAACCGTAACATTACGTTATACATTCTTCCAAAATACTGAAAATTGAAATATGTGGGATGATGGTGCTGTAAATCAAAATTACATTCACAAGAAATTAAGAGTAGATAACGTTTAAGGAATTCTGACTGTCTTTAAGTACAGATTATTTTCCCTTCCCGTTCGCTGAGTAAACATTTCTATAATTTTACCTGTTGTTTTGCATGGATATGAAACAGTCTTTCAGACTGAGGGATAGAACGTAGACTGGTGTTTCAGAACAGGGTGGATGGGGAGAATGTTTGGACTAAACAGGAAGTATGCACGCTCTAAGGCGTTGACCTTGATCGCTTTGACACAGATCGTAGGTTCGAAACCCACTCAAGGCATTGATATTTGTCAGCGTCTTTCTACGTAGTGCTGTCCTGTGTGGGTAGAGAACTTGCGAAGGGCAGATCGGTCGTTAAAGGAGTGCTACCAAATGCAGAAATTGGCTCATAATCTCCCAAGTATTTCTGAATTGGATCAGGCCGAACGGCGTAGTCCGTAAAAGACGAAGATGAACAGGGAGTAGGGAGAAAACTACAAAAAAAAAAGTTAAATAATTTATAATTTTAATAAAATGTAAATGTGATTACGTCAAGGAGGTTGAGATGACCGGCACAAAAATCACGCATTAAAAATACAAGAAATGTATACAAAAATTTAGCCGGCAACATGGCACAAATTTCCAAGCGTTGCAGATGTTTTCTTCGAAATTCAAAGAGACTTGATTATCAACTTCCAGGTATTGTGGTCCATTGGCTTGGTGTTAGTTACTTCCTGTTTTAAGTCCGTGCTATTTTAGTAAGAGTAAGGAGTGTTGTATTGCTCTGCACGTGGGCCATGAATTTGTGTCGCAAGGACCTGCACTTCATGTCCACACACTTGTCTACATAACAGGCGAAACAGATGAAGGAGGTCCATGGTGATGCTCCATCTTCACACCCTACCCCGCAGTTGGTATCAACTCATTTCTCCTTTCTTCGTTCAATAAGTGTTTATGGATCTTGCCAGTCATTTTAAACCTGCCATCAAACACTGAAAATGAAATAAATTGTAATTCTACTTGTATTCGGGAGGTTCCTGGCTCTAACCTTGGTCAGGATACTGACCGTACTGAGTATGAAAATGGCTGTCTTCTGGACTCATCGCCCTGATGAAGGAGGCAGCAAGGACCTCTGAAACGTCATAAACTTCTACCAGACTACACGGCGCAACAACCCAGAAGACAGCCATCTTCAGACTCACCTCCGTCAAAACGTCAAATCCTACATGACTGGCTTAAATTAACAATGCTGTTGGCAGCCCTAGGTCTTCAGTAAACAAAGACAAGTTTCTCTGCCCATGAGTAGCTCAGCTCGTGCTGGTCATTCACAGGTCGAGATGGACAGTTCACGCTATAACATCCTCATCAGCAGTTTTGCTGAGCCATGGTGAGTCGGACCAAACCTGAGCTTACTTCCTCCGGGGGTCCAGTAGTTGGAGGTCAAGGGAAAAGTAATCAAACAGCTGAACTTACAAGTTCCACACAACTAGATGATAACACCCCCCCCCCCAGGTCTATTCAAAACCTCAGACCCAGGTTTGAATCTGCAGAGGGAGCTTCAGTCGAATAATGTCGAAGTGTTTAGCATGACGACTTTGTTGTCTGGTTTTTACTTTCTGCAAAGTAAAAACTCGGTCAGCGCTTCGGGTTCAGGAAAGTCGTAAAACATAACGATTCTCCTGACCTTTCAGCTTCCCTGTGTGATGACATCATGAGACACTAATCATGCCTAATACAGTACCACGCGTTAAAACATATGGGCTAACACAGCAAAGAATCAATTTGTATAGATTTTAAATAACAACCTTTCAGAACGATTATGATGCATAGATTATTTTACGTTTTTTTCTCCAGATTGTATCAGCATCAGAATAACCACACACAAGCCAAAAGCTGAAGAAGTGTAAAAATGTGCACCAGATGGTACGAGAGAAATGGGGACTGCTTCCATCACTTTTTATAGGTAAGTGACATTTGACATTTGGCACCAGGCAACGAAAGACTTCGTCATTCATGAAGTAATTCACCATAATGATGAGAATGTTGAACACCTTTTTGTGAGTGGCCGTCCCTTGCTTCAGCTGTTAACCCTTTGGAACCATGCTTATCTTAATAATACTGAAAAGGTGTAATCCTTATAGGACTACTCGTACACATGCGATATTTGCATATTCTGAGTTAGACAAGTCTTACTTTGACAACTTTAATTTCCGACTGTACGAAAAAATGTGTTCTTTATGCATTTGGACAGAACCTTAAATGGATAGTAACATGTCAAAAGGCGGTAGCATATTTGACTGTTACGCATGGGGTCATGGGATCGAATCCTTGCACAAATTGATCTTTTTCTTTCATGCAGCCGCCATGTTCTTATTTTACACTTTTCAAAGAATTACTTTTCCAGAGTTTTGTATTTTCCAAAATGTTTACAATTTTTCATTATTCGGCCCTAGTGTCGATCCAGCCTCATAAATCTGTTCGTCCGCTAATTTGGTATTACCGATTGTAGGAAATTAAAAGGTACGATTTTAGGATATTCCAAAATGGTTGAACGTTCACACTGCAAACATTTCTGGCGCATGAGTTAATTCCTCATCTACGTGGTTCTTCAGTTGACTGTCGCAGTTATTCGCAAAGCAAATATTATAGGGTCAATAAAATTATAACAAAAGGAAATATTCATGCAAAACAGACGTGGAACAATGTCTCCGCGGCAGTTGGTTCGTTTTATGACTATGACGTGTCTTGTGTACACAAATAATTTATAGCTGAATATTGTTCTTTTCTATGCACAGCTCTGACTAACACAACGCGACAATGCCATTTTGTCCAGTTTTTGTAGACTGTGTGTTATAACAGTTGTTCCCAGAGTTCCTTGTCTGAGTAACGAACATTTCTTCCGTCTTCTCCTTCTTCTTCTTCTTCTTCTTATTATTATTATTAGTGATTGAATTTATACGGCAAAATAATAATAAGTAAATAATTAAATTGACTCCCAAATTAAAGTAACACAACTCTAAAGAGGTACATATATTTGGAGGGCATATTTTCTGTTGGTATGATATTCTTCTTCTATGCCTATATTTCTCATGTGGCATTTCTCTTCAAGTCTCAAAAAAAATCCTCATTTCTCCCATTCGTGCTAGGTTATATGTCCCGCCGATAACTTATTCTCACTCTAGTTTATGGTATTGGGTTAGAATCCTGCAGTGCACATCGATGTAGGCGCCTTCTCTGTCGTGTCGTCCAGTACAGGTGATTGTGGTTATACACGCTTTCACCGCTTTTTCACATATCCGCGGTTTCATTTCAGTATGATAAGGAGCATCAGTATTCTACCCGCGACCAAATTTCAAAGCCTGCCTGAGTAGAAATTTATCCAGAATTATCAAGGAATGTAAAGCATCAAATAATTTTGGCACCAGGTTAACATTAACATGGTGTTTCCGTTTTACGCGTTTTCTACGCGGTGATTCGTAGGGAACAGGTCACCTGTAAATCTACACACGTGACATGATGAAACTCTTTTTACAGAAACCTCGTAAACTAAATGATAAATTCTGTATTCTTTGTTTTTGTCAGGCTTCGGAAGACACGCACCGATTTGTCAATATGTAACTCACGTCCCTTTACTGACATTTCCAAGTGTCTTGCTCTCAGATCATTGCGACACTTTAACCAGTCACTTCCCTTGTTCATCAAGACATGAAGTCATCATTTACTGTAGGGATATCCAACCCGTGGCGATCTTTACGTTAAAATTGTGACTTTAATTCCTATGTTGAGTCTATTACGTTCTTTGCTACACAAATCAGAAAGCGGGTACAAAGTGACGTAAGAGGGTAGTAAGAAAATGGATAATAAATTAAAAGTAATTACATATTTATTACTTTAGTACAGGCTATTAGGAAGGTATACGAAAATCAAGTCGGACTAGAATTTAATAAAATACGCTGGCGTTTGGTTGATGCTGATGGGAGTGTTATCTTCTCTGTGTTTAAGCTGTAGGATTGTCGGTTCCAGTGGCACTTTAAAACGGCGCAGGCCGCGTGACGGGAGAAACATTCGACAATTCCGCCTGCGAGATTCTTTAAAAAGCGAGACGCTAGAACGTAATCCCACGTTATAAAGACAGTTCACAAATCCTTCGAAAATATGACAAAGTTCAAATACTTGGGAAGGACAGTACCAAATATAAATTCCATTCATGAAGAATTTTGCTTTTTGAAGCCGAAGCTAGGCTCAATGATATTTGAACACTCAGTCCCCACCGCGAAAAAAACACAGCATTTCGGAATTACAAATATTCTTCGATTCATGCTGTTTATTCTGAGAATTATAAGAAACCCATAAATGTACGTTGTGATTAAAATGCAGGGTTACTAAACGTTGAAGCATATGGTATAGTACATATAATTACCATTGTACTTTCGGGTAACTGTAACCCACAGTCTCTTCATAAATAAACTGTACAGCCATCTTATGGTTACAGTTACATATCTTCCCACTCTTAACGCCAGTCATTCAAATCAATAAATAACAGCATGGAAGATTTTAACAAGCCTGGGCAGTACTCAATTACTGCGATTCTGAGCGTGTTACCTTGACCTCCAATCCAGTTCAAGCAGTAACTACAGATAAGTTGTCGATTACGTAGTGTGTCAATAATTCGACTTGTGCCTCATTCATGTGGCAATACGACAGTCTTCCGCAGATAGCATCCACGAACTATGAAGATGCCTGCTCTCTGATATATGTCGCTATGGTAACCAAGGTTATACATATGACATAATTTTCATTCAGCTCGTCACGTACTACTATCTATCAGCATAATGCCACGAGACAACTAATTGTGTTGTTGCTGATCACTAATTATATTACGAGGTTGTTGTGATGGGGTTCAGGCACAACTAAGTGTTGTGAATGAGTCACTTTTAATCCGAATGCACCACTTATCAGACTTCGTCCATAAAGCAGAGTCCTTCATGAGGGGCTAAGAGCTTCTTTATTGTTTAAGAAACTGTCTTCCTGATATAGAATATGAAAGTTCATTTCTCTGTTCACAAGCACCCGAAATCCGTGGAGATAACGAACGATGGAGGGGGTCTCATCTACAAGCGTTCACTTCGCGAAAATAACTCAAAATAATTGAACAAGGTAAAGTTTATCCTCTGCAGGAACTGAATTCATTGGCAATCATATTCAGAGGATTCAATTAAACTCGTGCCAAAGTAACGGATCTGTGCTGTTCCAACTGATTTCGAACGTGGTTCAGAATACAGGCCAATAACTGAATGTGTGAGAATTCGCAATCAAGTTCATCTGTTTTTTATTGATAGAAAGTTATGCAGACGATACAGAATTGTACTCTCGCTGTACTGGATTTTTCAACTCATTGCTCCTCAGCTGGGATGCAATAGCTTCAACTTAATACCGACAAAACAGATGCTGAGTGCGCAGGATAAGCGAAGTGATGACGGTTGGGAATTTGTATGAGTGTCACGTAATGCAGGTGATATTTCCTGCTTTCTTAGAAACAGAGAAAAAAATATCAGCATCATGATAATTTTAACCAACTTCTCCACGTCTGTATTTCGCATGTGTTCTTTGAAGAAGTAGAACAAGATTTTAGTAGATTAGATTAGAGTTCACTTACATCACATAGGTGTTCCTCACGCCACGACATAACACGTAGTTTAAAAAGCTCTTGGTATGTATGCAAGTTGAATCGGGTCTAAAAATGCGACACTTTTCAGTGGCCATTTGTTTCAGTGTTTATTTTCACACATTTTATGCATACACGTTCATTGATTTATTCATGGACTGGAATAATGTGTAAACCGAAACAGAAGTCTTCGTATTGACTAGATTAAAGTATAGACCCGTTCAGGTTCAGCGTTTGTGACATGACCCTTCTGTTATCATTGGTCCATATTCCAATTCTATTTATACAAGGTCTTACATTTCTGTCTTTATGGCAACTGACATTTTCCTCAAAGATAATTTATTGAGGAGGGCCAGATTATTTATAATCTCGTGATTATCGTGTATTTTAAATCAGAAATCCTTTCTGGGAGTAATTTATAACACGTGTATTTCTTCTGATATGAATACCCATTCCTGAACACAATTTTCACTAATACAAATTCCGACAGAACAGTTACATGCTGGATACATAGCAGGCGGACGAAATTATTGAAACCGGCCTTCTTAATGCCATCCCACGGTGTATTTGCTCGTTTTTATATTATTAATTTATATGACCCGTTGCAGAATTTGAAACTCGCTGCGATGCGAGATATCACATGCAGGAAGGAGGAAAAGTTCAAGACAGCGAAGTTCAGAATCACAAACACAGCACCTAGTTCCAAAGTACGTCTGTAATTATGTACGATAAGAAACTCCGAATGACAGTTATGCACGAATTCATTCAGCTGATATTAAGACACATTTATTATTGATGATCGATATTGATGCTACTGGCCTACACGTTCGTTCATGTTCCCTTTGGCGCTACTCAGTTAATCTGCTTTGTGGCGAGAGGTCGCAGACCAATTAGGATAAAGCAATGGCGTATTGATGAAGTAATTTTTAATACCACCGTACATAACATAATCGAAAAAAAATATCAGAAAAAACATTTAAACCAACGCGGAACGAAGTATACACTTTAAAACGATGGCTGTGTATCTCCATACAACTGAATAATAATCTCTCAGTAAACCTCAAACGCATTAACGTTTTATGAAATAAAAGAACATACTTGTCTCCGTAAAAGAAAGTTCTGGCATTATTCTCAAATCGTGTGACGTACAATGTCATTCTGTTCTATGTAGGCTAAGCTACGTGCAGCATCGTTAAATAAACAATATGCAGTAGGTTGCGGTTTAGTAGGGTTAATGTGAATCATGAAGAGCGGGAGGAACTTGTTGCCTATTTTAAGGAACTATCCCAGTACTATGA